ACTTTGTATGTCACCTCAACCCCATATGTAATCCACCAACTTATGTCAAACAACCACCCCTGTATGGCCTTATAAACCTTTCTTAAATCTTAAATTTAATTTCCCGGTGCGGCCTCGTGTGGCTCCAGGGAGTTGTTGCCTCTGGACGCGAGACATAGGCCTGTTTACCTCTGTTAAACACCAGGCGTCCTCCGTCACCTGTCACCTGTAAACGGAAGTGCCTCACGAAGGACGTATGAAAAATTTCCAGTGGGAGGAATGGAAACTTCGTTATACTAGATCTCGTGCTTTGTAACTGGCATGTAGTTGGGCCTTTAAAGGAGAACCTTGCTAAGTTGCAATATCATTTTAACGATATGAGAATGTTTATCGAAAGTTGGACGAGAATTCTTCGAACAAGGTAGAAAAATACTCTGCCATGCTACGGTAAATATTTGAAAAAACAAACAAGTTTTATAGTTAACTTTCTAGTATAAAAAGAAGAACTATTATTTATGTTTCACACGGTATTTCTTTCTTGGGAGCGCAACAAAAAATGTGGTAAGTCAGATGAAATTCTCTTAAAAAAGGAAAACTCTTTATATATACTTTCCTTCAGAAAAAAGGTAGAAAAGGCATCTTATTATTCAATTGATAAACAAGATTGTAAACTCTCTCTCTCTTATTAAGGAAGAGCGTCAGATGTTTCAACTGTAAATTTGAAGCAGATATTTTTATATCATGATTTACAAAAGTATTTACAACAAGGTTTTCTACCAAAGTTAATTTTATAAAAGACGCCGGTTTTGAGGAAAATGATGGCATTTGTTATTAAAAATATAGAAGTTGTCATTATCTCAAGGTGGAAACTTTCAGATTTATTTTTTTTTATTTTTTTTTTTTTTAAATTCTTTGATAGGTAAAATTGGAATTTAAAATTATCTTAAAAGATAAATTCGAAACATGTAAAGTGTTCATTTGGTCTCTTTGTCTGTAAACAATATGTATTATCCAAGAACATATGCATATAATACATATTTTACTAATATTATATAAGCAGTAAGAACATGTAAGAATAATAAGATAAATAACTAGTTTTATTTTATAAAGAAAACTAAGATAGTACGTATAACAGGTGTACCTTATCTGAATTAAACCGCGAGCACGCGCGCTGTGTCCAATGCACCCACACGATTAAATAAACCTTTTCAAAGAACGTCTACATTCAATGTGGTCGTGTCTTAGGTCGACCGCTTTATGTTTCCGAAGTTTTTTCATTGGGGCTTTGATTCGGTGTCTTCGAATCTTAAATGTGTCTTAAAATCGAAATTTTTCTTTAATTTTAGCTTTATACTACCATTAGGATATATTTTCATGAACTGGTAGCCCTATGTATTAAAGAAGATAAGTAAAATGTCTCAATAATATTTTTAGCATTTTTAAATTTTTATAGTTTTATTTAATAAAATATAATAGTAAATGTTTGTGTGATATATTAGATCTTTATCGAAAGTTTTCAGTTCGCAAGTTTTTCCCCTGCCTCCTTTTGCCAGCATGTTGGAGCAGTCGAACATCGCCAATAACTGTAATTTATATTGACCTTGAGTAGGTAAGGAATTGCGATGAAAGTTTATTTTTAGCGCTGAGAACTTAGTGATTTGCTATATTGTAAGAAATAATACTCATAATTGTTACTTAGTTTGTACTTAATTGTTTGTTACTTGAGAGAAGCAGCTATTTGAGTGTGTAGTTATTTTCTGTTTCTCTCATTGGCGGAGTAGTAATTACCAATAAATGTTTTAATTATTCTTCGTTTATCTCTAAGAATATTCAGTAAATTTTTTCTGACAGCGGTAATTCCGTTTCCAGATGCAGATTAATTTGTGCTTTCAGGCGTAACATAGAAAAGCTGTCCAACTAAAGTAAGAGTCTAGTAAGAGACTATTTCTCGTGGGTTGTGGGTAAAAATTATTTTATGTACACCAAGAAGCATCACCTTTATAATATAGTTTTAGCATCACCTTTATAATATAGCTTGAAACTCTTAAGTCTCTTAAGAAATGCAGTCGAATCTCTATTACTCCACTTTAAGTAACACTAACCATTTAACAGACTGATCTGAATCCTCAGATTCTCGCGCTCTTCGACCCTGTGAATGTGGGCTTACGAGAGGTTCCACTACATGTATTCTTGCACACTGTGTATGATGTAGTACTTAAAACTAGAAGAGAAAAGCATAAGTACACATTTTTCATCCAAGATCCTAGTAATGGCAAACAAGCAGACAGGGAATTTGTTGTAACCATGCAAGGTTCTTGGTGAAAATCGTTAAAATACACAGTTAATGAATGTGAATAAAATTAAGAAAAAAGAAAGTTCTCTTAATGCAGCAGTAGACTTGCCTATAAATTAAGAATCTGATGCTCCAGCTTAATTTAGGAACTATAGTTTGATTTACAGTTTTCTATTAGTTACGAATACTTAAATAAATAAAATTTAAAATCAAATAATAGGTTGTTAAATAACAGGCCAGAAATTTAAGAGAAGTTAACCTTGTAGGGCTGCTATTGATCTGGACACTAAAGTTAATTCCTACCGAACGTACTGGACAAGATAGCGAGATAGCTATGTCTTAGATTCACACCGTACCAAAGGAAGGTTTCAAATAACTTTTTCTCATTTACATCTAATTTAAGGGAAGGGCATAACTTGAGCTGCAAGTAAAAATCTCCACTTGTGCTTATTCAAATTAAGCAACAACAGTTCAGACGTTGATAACGTAAAATTCAGACGTTATTAACGTTAATAAAGTTCTCAGACGCTGATAACGTAGTCTTATATTACACATTCACTAAAATAAGCTATAATCTCGCAGAATTATTTTACCACGGCGCAAGTTAAACGTACCGAATAGCGAGAGAACGTCAAGGCTGCCATACCACTTTTAAACAGAGCTTTAATAGAAGAACCACTTTTAAACAGAAGAATTCGCAGCACAGACGAGTTCTTTCTAAGATTCAAAACTTTCAGTTTGAATACCCTCAAAAATAATTTGCCTTCTGGTAAGGAATATGGAAGGAAGAAGTTATAATAAAGATCTAAAGCATAATAAACTGGTTAATTGCATAATATATGTCGCAACCCTTTGGACTTATGAAGCAGTTTTTATAATTATCTCTATAATTATTATTTCATTTTCGCTAAGTTCATATCCTTGGTTTTGTAAGTTTTTATATCTTAGGTGGTTGGGTAATTAGTTATTACAAGACACTTTAAAGTACTCTGTTTAAAATGGATCAGTGCTTCTATGACTGATTTCTTAAAAGATAATTGCTCTGTTTGTGTTCACAGGGGCAAATTTTAAAAACCTGTTCACTTAAATATTGTTAAATTCATTTAAATCTTCGTATACAGGGAGATTCAAATGCGAGCAGTCTATTTTATCTTTAAAAAATATGTCGTTTTAATAAAGTAACTTTTTATATACTTAATTCCAGTTTTTTTCCTGAAAGTATTACAAGAGAAGTAGTACAACAATAAAGAAGGGAAAACTACACTGAGAAATACAAGTGTATAACACTAACTGTTTTATTGCAGGATATCTTTTCAAAGCACTAGCTATTTTCGCGCTAAACATAGCTTGCATTGCTGAAAAGCTTCTTTTGCAATGCTTTGCCAAAAACAGTAAATTCTAATAGCAGTTATATTTTCCTGTTAGCAGTTGAAAGAAATATATTACAGAAATTATTCCCATTTTTTTAAAGTGCAACCAGGTTGATGCTTAACTATTTGTAGGATGTCCTCGAATGTGCTCGTTAGATAAGTACACTTGCTTTTAACAATGAATCTTCGCCACTGCTGAAGCATCCCTGTTACGGATAATGTTAGCATGAAATTTAGCCGACTTAAACAATAGGTATAAACAGGGACACATCATTTCCTAGCCGTCTCATAAGATTTAAAATTTTCTATTCTAATTGCTTTCATCACAGTCTGCATTCCCGCCATTTTTACTTGTAGGTGCACTGTTTTTTCTTTCATCGTTCGATTGCTAATAATCACATAATCAGAAGATTCATCTCAAAATAACTTTCGTGTAAGGTTTCTACAGTTATCGCATGCTGTCTTCAGCGCATAGTTTAAATACTGATGTAGGTGACGTGTCAGACGTGACGGTGATCGTCAAAATTATTTACGTAAAACTTCATTTTAATTATTCTTACTTCAGCTGATCATAATTAAAACTAAGTGATCACAAAGACCTACTGAGATTTAGGGAAATTTTAATATGCTTGTCAGCAACAAGAGTTTCCATAGCAACGAGGTTTCGAAATTAATCGACATAGCACACTTCATTTATTTATACTTCGAAATTTCATCATCGTCCAAATTACTGAACACTAAATTTTTCTGCTCGAGGGAATATTTTAATAAAGTCTTGATGAAAATAAATCAATAGATATAATACTTATGCCGAATTTCGAGTGTCTCAAGCATTAGAAGAAAGCTTTTTAAGACGACCAACCGTAGTTCTAGTATATTGCCAACTTAGCTACATCGCCAGATTAACTATAAGCTCTTAGATATTTTTCATTAAAATAATTGAATTAATAGATAATTAAAATTTTGTATCTAAATTAGGAACACCGATCTTCTGTATTTCTTAATGTATACCATATCTGCGATATCTGCTCGAGTTCTTTAAGTGCAATAACTTGCTATGTAATACTATTTTTAGCCATCCTATCGAGAAGTCTTGGAATTAACTTCATATATTAATACAGTAGCAAGCTTCTGCGTTCTTTTGAACTTTTGAACGTTTTACTCTCTCCAATTTTTGTATATCTTCTACAACAAGTAATCTTATATATTAAAGAAATTTATTTCTAAAGTATGACGGTAATTTAAATGTTTTGAATCAAGTTCAAGAATTTTCTTCCTTGCCTACCTACCTTTATAACGATTCTTAAACATTTTCTTCTCAATGCGTTTTCTCTTTAACAACAATTTGTTCTTTCCAGAAAAATGTTGGCCAAAATGGAGGAAAGCCGAAACTGGATCTTAATGTTGAAGCTGCCTGGGCGCAAGGTTATACTGGAAGGAATATCACGACGGCTATCATGGATGATGGTAAGACATTATTATCTGTTTCTCACATGCTCAGAATGGTAAATAGAATTCTATCTGAAACAATTTGTATTCGATAAACCCTTGAAAAATTTTTCAAATCCTAGAAACATCTGAAAAGATTATATTTTTATCTTAAGAAATATTAGGTAGATAACTAATTTTGTAAAATTTATTTTAACTAACATAATTTTTCTTATATTCAATCTTTCCTGTGTTTCTACTTTTTCTGCCAACTTCGCCAGAAATGCAAATTAGTGAGTTCAAATAACGAACGAAAATGTAAATTAGAAAGAGATTATTGACAATTTAAAGTAATAGCTTTATATTTCTTATATTACTTTACCTGCTAATTGGATAATTGTACTTGTTTCGATGAGTTGGATCGTTTTGCTAGTGTATGTTTTCCAAGAGTCGTTTATGGTGGAAATGGGTATTAGATTCTACTTTAGTGTTGCCTCAAGCTATTTTTTTGTTGTTGTTTTAGCTAGCAAGAACTTGTGTTTTCGTTCTGTTAATGTTTTACCTTCTAAATTTATAAGGTATTTTCTCCCTTCTTTCTGCATGCCTTCGTGGTGTAATGGTAGCACACTCGGCGCGTAATCGAGAGGTCCAGGCTAGAGTCCCGGCGAGGCAATTGCGCATCTTTCATGTCTACTGCTTCCAAATAACCTAATGACTCTACAGTGGCACCCGAAGTAAAAAAAAAGTGGTGGATGATGATTATATTTGGCGATTGCGTACCCCTAATCGCCGTCGCCCTTTAAAAGGAGCGGTATATGAGGTATTTTCTCCCTCCTTTCTGTATGCCTTCGTAGTCGAACGATAGCACACTCAGCGCGTATTCTAGAGGTCCAGGTTCGAGTCCCAGCGAGGGTATTGCACATATTTCAGCTTCCTGACATCGAAAATAGCCTGGTGACTATATATTTATTGTCGAAACGCAAACAAACTTTACTTGATTTTGCGACTGCAGCATTCACTTAATGTTATTGTATTCTATGGTTCTATTCTAAGCTACAATAATTCTTCCATAGTCCAACAACATTAAACGGGCTTAAATGAAATAAGCTTTATAATTTTGTAACTTAAATAGCTCTAGTCGCAGCTATCGATGTTCGTGCTCTCGCCCAAAACAAAAACAAAAAAAAAAAAAATATGTAGTTAAAGTTATTATGACAACTGTATCTGCATTCTGCAGTAATATTATGTATTATATTGTACACTAGGAACGGGCCTGTTCTAAAAAGTACAGTTAATTAATATTCCAAGAGATGACAATAATATCAAATTCATATATATATAATATGAATTTGATATATATAGTATCACAAAATTTTTTGGTACTTTTCCGTTTCGCCAAGCAGACTTTGTTGGCGACAGCATGCAGTATACACATAAAAAATGTTAACTAATGTTAGCTCTACGAATTTTTTATTTTGAAGGCATAAACATTTTAATAGGGTTTAAAATTTTGTAAAAAGCCACTACATAAATACAATTTGTAAAAAGACATTAATTTAAGCATTTACTATGGTTTCATGGTTCAAAAGCCTGATTCGCGGGTTCGTATCACGTGACGCCAAGTGATCTCATCTCACGTAAACTACGCTACAAAAATCTAATTCTCTCAATAATTATCTGCATTAATTTCAAGTTAAATATTAATTTGCAATACAAGTTTAAATGCAAAAATTATTTCAATTCGTACGAATAGCTTACTCAGAAATTATGTAAAACCGCAGTGCTTTACTTCGCTAATGCATTCTTGTTAGAATTGATGAATTTAACCCTTGATTTTACCTTTTCTATATTTTCGCCTTCCGGTGAGCGGTGTGATTGCGTCCTAATTTACTTAATTACCGCGAATGGTCTTAGGGCATAAAATTTATCTATCTTGTAAAATTTCTATGTAATTGTATGCCAGTATTAAAAAAACAATCAATCTGATAAGAAATGGCTGCGAGTTGTTTTGAAAATGAAGCGTAAAAGGTTACGAGCGAAGATATTCCGTTTGGCATCAGTTGTACCATTACTGGAGACTTTAACGTTTGCGCCGGCAAAACGGAAAAGTACCTTTTTTTTAAATTTATTTATTTAAAAGCACAATTATTCAAAGTACTTTCGCACAATATGCTGCTGAAAATTGATCAGTATAGGCAAAAAGTACGAAATTTAGAACTTATTTCACACAAAAACCCAAAAACGTGAAACTCAACACCAATAAATTTCAAAATATCCTATGAATATACAAAATAAGAATTAGAGAAATGTGAAATTAAAAACCTAAAAATTATAAAAACCTTAAAATATGTTCTAAAACCATAAAAAATAAAGAAGAGGAATTCAATTAAATCTGACGTAAGGTTATCAAGTAATCATCTTTAGCTGACTAGCAATCATTGCGTAATAGTACGTAAGTGACTGACTTAATGTTATAAACTATTCAGAAAAATTAACTGAAAACAACAGAATAATACTTACAAATACAAAATATTAATCTTTTATGTTTTAGAACTTGAGATTATTAGTAGGTATAAAATATTTTGAATCATGCGTCATGACGACTACAGATGATATTACTAGCGAATCCAAAACAATAATAATAATAAATAAATAAATCTCTTATTTTTTCTTATTAATCCTTTTCTATAAGAATCCATCAACACTGCAATCGTTCTGTACACATACATGCGATAGTTTCTGAACCTGAATCATGTCTAAACGGCAGCACAGTTTAAATGAAATTTAGCACTTGGGGATTTCACTTGTGTTACTCCTCCCCATACAACAAATATTTAGCCATAAGCCAGGCTCACAAGAAGCATTAACATATGTTACTTATCAAGGAGTAACGGAATCTTTACGACATAGTACTTTATTTTTTTTGAAGAATATAGATGATATTCTTAGAAAACCTTCGTTAATGTAAATGTATTTGATTTATTTTCGTTCAAAGATAAAAAGGGGCTTATCAGTAAGGAAGCAAGTTGAGAAATTCAAGCTTTAATAATTGCGGTTGGAATTCACTTCGAAAAGAATCCGCTGAGTGTTGCTATCGTTAAAAGATCTCGTTCATGATACGTTTACAAACCCAAGCATCTGTGATGTCTTAAAATAAATTGCGTTTCTCTTAGGTCAAATAGCTGGTACGCACTGCAGCATACTAAACTATCAGCTAATTAATTACATATCAAACTAATCAACTACTGAATAATTGACGATATAAGAGGAATTTTGTTTGCTCTTTTAATGAAATACATTTCATTTAATTTTATTCTTTCAATTAAGAGGATTTTCCGTAGTAAGGTGATATGAAAAGGCTATAAAACATTTAGATTTGGATGAATTCGTTTGCGTAGCGTGATATTTTTGCTGAACGTATTATTTGCAGTTTATTTATAATTTGAGCTCCCTTCTTCTGACCTTCTATCATGTGAAGCTATCCAAATGTATTTAAACTTCTCCAATCGATACAAACCATTTCTAATGGGACCTCTTTTGACAAAATGATTCATTAAATTCAAGCTGTTGCAGTCTTGAAGTGTGCAAGCCGCTAAATAGATACCATTTAGTGAACTTTTAATGTCTTAAGACTTTTAGCTTTATTACTGATATTTAATGCAATTGACTAACTTCAGAGTAATCACTCCTTTCAATATGTTACAGTGCGTTGTTTATGTTATTATACTATTGCTAAATATGTGATAAAATTAGGTCTTCGTCGTTTTAGAAGATTTTTATTGTTTTGAAAAAGTTTTGTTTTTTAATTTAAGGTTATCAACTAAGGAGACGGAATCTCTTCCCCTTAAGTGAGAGTTTTACGATTTCTTGACTAGACTGATTCAAATCTAGGACGATATCTTCAAACTATAATAAAAGATTAACAGCAATGATTGGCTGCGAAGCAATTGGAATACCGCAATTATTCAAAAGACTGAAAATGTATACATAGAAATTTGGTTTATTTTTAACTAAACATAAGAAAAATTACTGATTTTATAAAAGCACAAATGATGAAAATTTTCGGTACTTCCCCGTTTTGCCGGCGCAAACGATTAAGTCACCAATAATGGTACAACTGATGCTAAACGGAATATCTTCGATGGTAACCTTTTATGCCTCATTTTCAAAACAAGTCGCAGCCCTTTCTTATCAGATTGATTTTTTTTTCAATACTGACATATAATTACATAAGATATTTACAAAGATAATTAAATTTTATGCCCTAAGACTATTCGCCATAATTAAGTCAATTAGCATGCAATCACACCGCTCACCCGAAGGCGAAAATATAGAAAAGGTAAAATCAAGAGTTGAATTCATGAATTCTAATGAGAATGCACTAGCGAAGTAAAGCACTGCGGTTTTACATAATTTCTGAGTAAGCTATTCGTACGAACTGAAATAATTCTTGAATTTAAATTTGTATTTCAAATTAATATTTAACTTGGAATTAATGTAGATAATTACTGAGAGAATTAGATTTTTGTAGCGTAGGTTACGTGAGATGAGATCACTTGTTTACGTGAGATTTATCACGTGATACGAACCGGCGAATAAGGCTGTTGAACCATGATAGTATAGTAAATTCTTAAATTAATGTCTTTTTACAAATTTATTGTCTTTATTTATTGGCTTTTTACAAAATTTGGGCTAATCTTTGGGATATGGTAACAGGTAGTTTGGCGACATTTTGGTAAGACGATAAAGTTTACTAGCTAGGACTTTAACAGTGTACATGGATAAAGTCAAGAGTGTGCGCAATGCCATTTTTGTGCAATTCTAGGATGTTTTTTTTAAGTGAAAATAAGTCGACGTGTACATGGATACCGTGTATGTGCAATTCTTAAAAACGCGGCAAGCAGTGGGCGATTCTGCATTTTCTCCCAATTTCGCACCTAATCTTCGTCATGATTAAGCACTTTTGTTCCATAAAAGTTCTAGCATAAGCGTAATTCGGCTAGCAGATTGTTGGGAAAAAATGCTGAGTTAAAAAAAAA